ATTATCAATCAATTAATGAGGTACAATTGGACACAAGTTACAGTAGCTGAATTCACATTAAGCCATAAAGAAGAAAATCAAATTTGTGCGATGCCAAAACCAGGTAAATGTGTTTCTTCCCTCTCCCAATCATTACCATTATTTTTAAATTTACAATAGGCTTGCTCAAGCTGAAGTTTTCCAACTCTATCAGATGTATGCCAAGCTAATGATAGGGGGAAGTTGAAGTCTGGCAAACTGGAGATTACCACCCAAAATTAGGGAAGGCTGTTTTATAAAGTCCATTGCTCAGCATTAATGCTGACGTACTTTTGAAAGTTTAGATATCACCTGTGAAATTGGGCATCCCAATAAATCCCTAAGGAACAGAAGGTGACCAACCTTGATATGGTGGTACAAAGTTCAACCCAGCCAGGAGTGTATAAATGTTTGCATGCAATTGTAATTATTCTGGGACTGAAGAGAAAAAGGACAGAGTCTAATTCCTTGCCTGTCATTTGATATACTGGACAGCTATAATAGCTGGAGGGGTTGCCAGTTGCCAGCAAGTAATACATTATCTTTGCAGAATTACCACTTTCTGCAAAAGCACCCTCCACTCCCTATAAAATACAATATGAAGTGATTCTTTTATGAGCAGAATGAGGAATCTCTGTGCTGGGAAAGGAGGAAGAAGCATTCTTTCAATGCTGAAATGTCAGTCTTCCTGCTACATGAAGTTAAGTGACTGACCCAACCAAAATGTTCCATTTCTGTTATGCCATTATTATTATTTTTCCAACCCAAGTCTTTCTCAACTATGCAAAGCTGTTTACTTCTGTACTTTAACGGTTCTTCCAAAATGGAAATGCTAATTCTGGAGTCATTGGTTACAGTCAGATGATTCCTAAATTAGTTTCTGCTTGGATATTTTCAAGTACCATAGTATTAAAGAAACTAAATTATTTTATTCTATATAAAAGCAGCAATTATTTTTTTTAAAAAACTAGCCATTGATATTGCTGCTTAAACTCAGAATGACACACCCTGCAAGAAATACTGTTTTAAATGCCAGAAAATTGGAGGACAAGAGTTGTGTTGTATAATGTGCCAATGCAAACAACAAGGTTCATGTGTAAGGAAAGCAGAATCTGAGGCCCTCAGGCATGTGGTCAGCAAATGCTTTGAGTATGATTGTCAAAAACATTCTATATTTGTTAAATGTTTAGGGCTCATCTACAGACCTCCCTTGCCTCAATGCATGGATCTCTACCTCATAGCAGAGCCTCTTAGTGCCAGCCAAGTTTATCTTGCAAAACATTAGTGTTTCCATTGGGAAATGGAGCAATTCTATGCAAACATTCTACAAACATGGAGGAGACGCCTGAGGTCACCCCTGTAGACTGTCTCTTTCCAGCCAGTCATGGGGCTTCAGGACTCCTCACCCCTCTAAGAACAGCAGCAAGAGGAGCACTATGGGGCAGCATTTCCCAAGCAATATAGGATGGGAAGAAAGTATATCAAGAGCTGTATGGGGAAAAACTCTGAAAGTGCCAGGAATAATTTATGAGAGAGGGAGCAACACAAACAGATGCCAGCAACTATGGGGCCCTATCAACTCTGAAGAAGGGCCAGAGGGAGGAGATTTTTTAACATGTGGAGTCAAAATACCTTATTGCAGCCTTATTTCTAGTCCTGTTTTCCCAGCTGCATCAGATCTGCTGCCTATAATTTCTGGAAGTGAAAAATTCTAACATATCTGGAGGGCCCAAATTGGGAAAAACTGCCTCAATTTAAGTCATTAGAGATTAGTAAACCCCACCCCATCAGTATTAAAGTAGATAATCTCTGTCAGAGGATTTAAGATAGCAAGGTATAATTCAGAAAAATACAGTGAGGAGGGAACAAATTTCAAGAGATGATTCCTAGCCTTTATTGGTCTAAGGCTGTATCAGGTTTCTTAAGTATCTTCCGGTTTTCTTGACAAAATATATTATTGAATAATACATGTTTAAAAATCTAATGCAGAAGTGGGCTAATTTTTGGTATCTGTACTGGGTATCTACATTTTTTAAACTTACAAATGATATCTCCAGCCAAGACAAGCAGTAAGTCAGTGATGCAAAATGGCAAGTGTGCATCATATATAACTGGAATGGAAACTTTGTTCCTGGATTTGGGAAGGCTATTAAGTTTTATGTTAGTGTTTATGAAGAAGTATTTTTTTTTAATTTCCTGCTTCAAATTAAGGAAAATCTTCAGTAACTGCAATTGATGAAAAACTCCAGGAAGGAATTTGAAGATTCTGTGTGACTTTGGGATTACAGATGCTTTAGAAATCTATGGATGGTGTAGTCCAAAATGGAATAATCCAAGTTCCCCAATTAAGGAATAACTAAGTGATTTATTTCATTTCCATTTTCATCATTCCCATTTGGTTGTAATGTTGTTGTGTTTGTACATACTGCTCTCTGTGTATATACCACTGGATACATACTATACTACTGTTTAGAATAGAATAGAGCTGGAAAGGGACCTTGGAGGTCTTCTAGTCTAGCCCCCTGCTCAAGCAGGAGAACGTATACCATCTCAGACAAGCGACTGTCTAGCCTCTTCTTGAAAATCTCCAGTGATGGAGCGCCTATGATTTCTGGAGGCAAGCTGTTCCATTGGTTAATTGTCCTCACTGCCAGGAAGTTTCTCCTCAATTCTAGGTTGCTTCTCTCTTTGTTCAATTTCCAACCATTGTTTCTTGTCTTGCCCTCTGATGCTTTGAAGAATAACGTGACCCCCTCATCTTTGTGGTAGCCCCTCAAATATTGGAATACTGCTATCATGTTGCTCCTGTTTCTTCTTTTCTTTAGACTACTAGCCAAACCCAAGTCCTGCAGCCATTCTTTGTATGTTTTAGTCTCCAGCTCTTTGATAATTTTAGTTGCTCTTCTCTGAACTTTTTCCAAGGTCTCAACATCTTTTTTGTAGTATGGTGACCAAAACTGATTGCAGTATTCCAGGGTTTTATGAAGCGGTACTAATACTTCACATGATCTTTTTTTTTTTTTTGTAAAAATTTTTATTTTCAATTTTACAATATATAACAATCTTACAAATACTTCAGATAAAAAATAAAACAAATTGATTCACCCCACATTTGGTCTTGCCCGCCCATTTCCCCCCAAATCACATCCCACCTCAAACCAACTTACTTCTTTCCCTCTTTTTCTTCACTCACCCCCTCTCCTCCTTCACCTCCACCTTCCTACTTACTTCTCACCTTCTTCTTCTCCCTATTGGTGGGTCAATATTGGAAGAAGGATACTCTGCCTTCTTTAGAAGAATAGGTATTTAAGGTTTCTAATTTAGCAGAAATGGCTAAAATTTCTGCATATTTAAAGGACCATTCACAAGAGAGATATTTTAACGTATGGAGAAGATGGATAGAATATGTTCAGAAGAAATATGGAACTACAAAGTTTCACTTATTCTATGAGTAATGATTTTGTTTATAAACTTATGATGTTAAAGTTTGAAGAGAGTTAAGGTTTTTTATGATTTTGTTCATTGTATAATTAGTAAACTTAAATAGATTATGTTTAATATGTTTGCATAATCCTGTATTTTGCTCTGGGAAGTCGGGGGGGAGGGGGTGGGGGGAGGGGATGGGGGTGGATGGGTTGAAGTTTAAGTAGTTCGGATAAAGTAGAAATAGTCTTATTGTATATAATATTAATGTTTTAATTTTGAGAGAGGAACTGCTTGGGCATTTCCCCTGGTACTTCACGTGATCTTGATTCTGTGCCTCTGTTTATACAACCCAGGATTGTATTAGCTTTTTTGGCTGCTGCTGCACACTGCTGGCTCATGGTTAAGTGATCGTCCACTAGGACTCCAAGGTCCCTCTCACAATTGCTGTTTTTGAGCCAGGTCTCGCCTAATCTGTACTTGCACCTTAGATTTTTTCCTGCCTAAAAGTAAAACTTTGCTTTTCTCCACATTGAAATTCATTTTTTTGAATAGGGCCCATTGTTCAAGTTTGTCAAGATTTTTTTGGATTCTGAGTTTGTCTTCTGGGGTGTTGGGTACTCCTGTCAGTTTGATGTCATCTGCAAATTTGATGATTTCCCCTTCAATTCCCTCATCTAAGTCATTTATGAAGATATTGAAGAATACTGGGCCTAAGATGGAACCTTGTGGTATCGCACTGCTTACTTCTCTCCATGTGGATGTAGTGCCATTGAGGACTACTCATTGAGTATGGTTTGCCAGCCAGCTACAGATCCATCTGGTGGTGATGTTGTCTATTCCACCTTTTTTTAGTTTATCAAGGAGTAGGTTGTGGTCTACTTTATCAAATGCCTTACTGAAGTCTAAGATTACTACGTCCGCAGTATTTCGCTGGTCTATTAGTTTAGTCACTTTGTTGAAGAATGAAATAAGATTGGTTTGGCATGGTCTGTTTTTAACAAACCCATGCTGGCTACTAGTTATAACTTTGTTTGCTTCTAGTTGTTTGCAGATCTGTTTTTTGATTATCTTTTCTAAGATCTTTCCAGGTATTAATGTTAAACTGATTGGTCTGTAGTTTCCTGGGTCCATTTATACGAACGTATACTGTGTTTGTATATATCATACAAAAATGAAACAGGTCAAGAAACATGCTCAGATTTCAAGAAATGGTAACAAAGAACCTGGCAACATTATTTAGATCAGACTAAACATGTATTCCTGCGGGTTTTAATCAAGCTTGGTTGATTTGAATGTGAATCTGATATTTATTTATGCAATGTCTTGGGGAAAAAACTGCTGCAATACATTCTTCTCTTTGCACCAGCTATCATCCAAGCACAGAGATAGCTAATTGTGCTCTGAACTGGGCAGTTCCAAATACCTAATAAGATTCGCTTTCTCCATCATGTGATTGGGTTCTCTTTTTATTAAGTTATCTAAAAGAGAACTTTTCCTCCAACTCTTACATATTTCTTCTTATACCAATCCTTTACTAATTTGGCTCCATAGTAAATAACTTTTCCTTCCTGATTGTCATTTGGCAGAGCCAGGGAGCCCCAGTCTTGAGCTAGGACTTTCTTTACAGATTCTATTATTTTTTTCTGTCTTCATCTTTCCTTTTCTCCTGAGAAGTTCTATTCATCACTTATTGAAATGACTGTGCAGCTCACAATCAGGCAACTCCCCTTCTTTTTACCAAGCTTATATCACATTATCAAGTCATAAAATCAGGACTATCTTTCACAAATGGACAACAGCCCTCCTTCTGCATTCCCAAGAAAGATTACAAGGGTAAGTGATTTTTTTAAAACTTTTTTTATTTGCCACAAGCCTAAAGGTTTTTTCTTTCTTTCAAAGGAGGAGTGGTCTTAAGATCTGGCATCTTTCAAGAAGTCAGCTGCAATTTTAATTACACCCTATCTAAGAATCCAGGCTATCATTATATTCCCAGCTACTCCGTGTTCTGGATTGTGTGGAATAATTTTCCATTCTCCCAGATATAGCTTGAAAAACTTTAAATCAAAATTTTGGTAGATTTGAGCTTTTAAGATCTCTCCAATTGCAGTTGTCACTGTTTCTGAAATAACAATTTGTATTTGTATTGCTGTTAAGTAGGCCTTTGGGAAATAATGTCTAACCTTGGGATTTTTCAAATCACATTGCATACAGTTGGCTGAATGGTTGATTGAAATGAGTTTCAATGAAAGTTATTCATCCTTGTTTTAAATTCATCCCCTATTTATTTTCTTTCACTCATTGGGAGGAAATTTTGTTTTTAATTTGTATACATTGCTGATTAATAATTGCCACAAGCCAATGGGTGATGGTGAGATCTTTTCTTACCCAAACTATCATACTTTAATAGCTCAAGAACTTCCAAGAGTTCTGAAGCAAATACTGAGGGATAAAATAGGTAACCATGAAGAAAGTAAAGCCTGGACTCATGTAACCTAATAGGTACCATTTAGCCTGGAATGTTGATTAGCTGTAGCTCCAATTATCTGTCACTGTGCATTCATTCTTGGCCAAGTTCAATGGTTACCACATTGCTCTGTTGTGCAGCTCACAAACATGCTGCCTGTAATGGAAACTGATATAATTCTGGACTGGTGGATGCACATAGTAATGATTTGGTGGTTTGACATATTGTGCAAGCATGAAAAAATTAAATCAAAACTTCAGGAGATTAAGGAAGGCAAGAAGAAATCATTTTTCTTTCTATCATCTTATTCCTTTGTCTTCTTGCATCTTTACTAATTCTCTCTCTTCGACTGAATTGCATGCTCCTATACCTACAAGCATAATCAACCCTTTCCTAATGCCCCCCCCCACTTTACAATATCCTCACCCTTCCAGTATATGTGTGTGGGATCCATCCAGAAAAAAAAAATTGGTTTCCTTTCCAAAACAGCTTTCACTGAAGAAGTCTATCTTAGGTGCTAGAGGTTTCTCAGCAATTTCAGTGGTGTTAAGTTGGGTGATATAAAACACATGTTACAAAACATACTGCCTCTCTATATTTCCTGACAAATAATAGCTAAGCCCCTGTCTACTAGCTGACCCTTCTCTTTCTGTCCAGTGTTCTGTGTTAGTTAAATGTGTTTAAAGATTTCTTCCTTTTGTGACATTCTCTTCCATTTCTTCTCATTATAAATCTTTTCCTTCTTTCCAAAAGGTTAAATACTATACAGTATTGAAATATCACCAGTTGACCTGGGGCAACATACAGCCTATTTTAAATAGAGAGCTGCATTTTGCTTTTCAGAGCCTGGCTAACAATTTAGAACTACTCTTGGGTGATCCTCTAGTCAGGCGTTCCTTTTACCAGCTTAGGTTTTTATGGCTTCTGAGTGCACTGGAGAAGGGAAATAATGTCACTGTTGCTCATGGTATGGTACAGGTGGCCCTTGACTTATGGCTGGTCATTTAACAATGTTTGAAGTTATGATAGGCCTCCCTGGAGATACTTACATTGGAACTCCCTAGTTCCAAAGTTCCGATGGCCACCTACCCCTGGTCACATGGGCCAATTTTGGGCACTCAGCAACCAGCCCACATTTACAGCCATTCACAGTGTCTCACATCACAAGACTGTGTTTCATGAGCTTATATCGCTGATTTCACTGGACAGCAAAGAATTTGCTTCCTGAACACATTTGGATCTGTCTTAAGGACTTTTGGATGCTAATCACAAAAACAACTGTAATGTAACCTATCGCATACCATTTTATAGAAATCTTCTGTTTCTACACAATGGCAATGTACAATGTATCTGTTGGCTATGCCTTACACCTGAAAGAAACATATGAAAACATGAAAGTATTGTTGAAGCAGATCCAGTATACCAGGTATAACTGGAATATCTGCGGAGATCTAAAAATAGTGGCTCTGCTCCTTGGAATGCAGCTCTATATACCAAGGATTGTTGTTACATATGCAAATGGGACAACCATGCAAGAGAGTTACATTACTTTATGAAGAAATGGCCATTCCAAAAGAATTTGGTTCCAGGACAGAAAAATGTGGCACATGAACCGCTTGTTGTCCCAATAAAGAAATGTTTGCCTCTGCTTCACATAAAACGTGGACTGAAAGATTTTGTGAAAGCAATGAACAAGGAAGGTGAAGGTTTTTGTTAGTTGAGACATATGTTTCCAATAATAATTGATGCAAAGATTAAGGAAGGCATCAATGACAAGCAGCTCGAACGATCTGTTGATGGGGCTAGAGAAAATCTCCTGGAAAGCATTTGAGAATTGAGAATTTTCTTGGCAACTACAGAGCACCAAACTACATTCAGCTAGTTGACAAATTTCTTACAGCATACAAGACCATGAAGTGCACTGAAGATTCATTTTCTGCACTGACATTTGGACTTCTTTCCCCCAAAATTAGATGCAGTCAATGATGAACATGGTGAAAAGTTCATTGCCATAATGGAAAATAGTATCAGGGCAACTGGAATCCATCAGTGCTGGCTGATTATTGTTGGACACAGCAGCAAGTTGCATCAGATACTGAGTACAAATAAAAATCAGTAGAAAAACTCTTTTAGCCCTGTTGAATTCATGCGGTGTGTCAGAAACATTATGTGATTAAATACATTATAGCCATTAAAAGTTAATTTCATATTTCTTAAGATTCTTACATGATAAAGTCATTTTGAAATTATATTTATGTTCAGTTTGAAGGGGTCTATCATAATCACAATTGCCAACATACGCTGGATCATGGAGAAAGCTAGGAAGTTCCAGAAAAACATCTACTTCTCCTTCATTGACTATGCAAAAGTCTTTGATTGTGTGGATCACAACAAATTGTGGCAAGTTCTTAAAGAGATGGGAGTACCAGACCATCTCATTTGTCTCGTGAGAAACCTATATGCGGGTCAAGAAGCAACAGTGAGAACTGGACATGGAACCACTGATTGGTTCAAAATTGGAAAAGGAGTCCGGCAAGGCTGTATACTGTCACCCTGCCTATTTAACTTATATGCAGAGCACATCATGAGAAAGGCAGGGCTAGATGAATCAAAAGTTGGAATTAAAATTGCCGGGAGAAATATCAACAATCTAAGATATGCAGATGATACCACTCTAATGGCAGAAAGTGAAGAGGAACTAAAGAGCCTCTTGATGCGGGTGAAGAAGGAGAGTGCAAAAGTTGGCTTGAAACGCAACATTAAGAAAACCAAAATCATGGCATCCGGCCCTCTTAATTCCTGGCAAATAGATGGGGAAGAAATGGAGGTAGTGACAGATTTTATTTTTCTGGGCTCCAAGATCACCTCAGATGGGGACTGCAGCCAAGAAATTAAAAGATGCTTGCTCCTGGGGAGGAAAGCTATGGCAAATCTAGACAGCATACTAAAAAGCAGATACATCACCCTGCCAACAAAAGTGCGTATAGTCCAGGCCATGGTTTACCCAGTTGCAATGTATGGCTGTGAAAGTTGGACCATAAGAAAGGCTGAGCGCCAAAGAATTGAGGCCTTTGAACTATGGTGCTGGAGAAGACTCCTGCGAGTCCCTTGGACTGCAAGCATTCAAACCGGTCAGTCCTAGAAGAGATCAACCCCGACTGCTCTTTAGAAGGCCAGATCCTGAAGTTGAAACTCAAATACTTTGGCCACCTAATGAGAAGGAAGGACTCACTGGAGAAGGGCCTAATGCTGGGAGAGATTGAGGGCAATAGAAGAAGGGGATGACAGAGAATGAGATAGCTGGATAGAGTCACTGAAGCAGTAGTGTGAACTTAAATGGACTCCATAAGATGGTAGAGGACAGGAAGACCTGGAGGAACGTTGTCCACGGTGTCGCGATGGGTTGGACACGACTTCGCAATTAACAACAACAACAACAATCATAATCACCAAATGATTTTTAGGAAGCAAAACCTTTGAAAAAAAAAGTTATTTTTGGCAAAACTGGGTCATAGCAAACCACTGGTTCATTTAAGGATCACGGTAATCATTTTTTGTCCATAGTGTTCAGTTAATGACTACTGTAAAAAAGGTCATAAAATCAGGTTAGTCAGATAAGTGGCTCATTTTACAACTATCGCAACTTATAGCCATGATGGGCACACTCCTTCACAATCATAAGTTGAGGAGTATCTGTAACATCTAGTTTAGTTTATTCAGTGTATTTTGATGAGCACTTGGTTGATCCTACAAATACCAGAAATTTCACTAGAAAGAATACATCTTTCTTATTATTTATTCCTCATTTTGGGGTCCAATTCAAAGTAGTGACTTCTACTTTTCTAGCTTCGTCCTGAGGATCAGGTCCACGTCTTCTAGCCATTTGAAGTGTAATGGTGGGAATGAGAGAGAACCCTAATCATGCAGGTCCTGTTGCAGAGGGCTCCCTCCAAGGTCACCCGCCTGCCTCATCACTATTACCTTTCCAGCACAAAGTGAAAAATGGTTTTCCAGAAAACTTTAAGGATAACGCAAGAGCACAAGCTAATCTATTGTACAGTTATGCAGTTGATATCCCATAGTTCTTTTTTTCTCTTGGATGCTGAGATTTGAAGCATTGATCCTTTTTTATATTGTTTTGCCTTCATAGTGTATGTTTATGATTGGATTTTTTTTCAGTATGATTTGTGATTAAAAATCAGAATTAAGATGGCAGAGATGGAAAATCCATTTGGTTAAAATAACAAGAGATATTTAAAGAATTGTTTATTCTACCTAAGATATTTTACCAATATCACATTCTAAATATGCAATACAATCTATTGCCATGATATTTAAGATTTAGTCAGCATGTGTCCATTTTCTCTAGGTCCAAAATTCAATGTTCAGCATTAGCTACGATGGAAAAATTCTATTTACAGACTGGCTAGAGCAGTGGTTCTCAACCTGTGGGTCGGGACCCCACTTGGGATCGAACGACCATTTCACGGGGGTCGCCAAACAACGCAGTCCGCCATTTTTTCCCCTTTTCCTTAGCTGTGCTACTCCCTTTTATTCTATTGGCTTTTGAAAGCCAATAGAATAGACTCTCTTGAATAGAGTCTAATTCTATTGGCTTTCAAAAGCCAATAGGAATTGTCCAGGCTGTCTCTGCCCTGCTGAGCCCACCAAAAGTCCCATTCTGTAAATGGTTCTGCACCAGTTGAGTAGTCCTCGACTTATGACTGGTTGAGTAGTCCTTGACTTACGACCGGTTGGGGGTCACGGCATTAAAAAGGTTGAGAACCACTGGACTAGAGGCATCCCTAATTCCCATTGTGGATCAATATCCATCTGTGAATAAATTTGGATTCTTCCCTCTGAGATATTTTGTACTATCTAATTGCTATGCCATCATCTTCAACTACTTTGAATGGTCTAAAAGTTTCCTCATTCTAGTTTCCGAGAAAGGAACTTACAGAGGTATCCCTCCTGCAGATTTATTTTGCCTTGTGTAAAGTAGAAGACCTACATATCAACAACAGTTTCTTCTAGTTGACTTCTATGGGTTTTGCCACTACAAAGAGGGATCCAGTGACTTTCCAGATATTGTTGAATTGTAACTGTCAGCAAGCCCAGCTAGTGTACTCAATGCAGCAAGATATGGCAGCTTCCAGAGGACCACGGATTCCCTATTCCTGTTCTAGTCAGTGCTAGCGTTAAAGGGAAAATGGCATATTTTGTAAGTTATTGTCCATGTTTTCCATTGTCAGAGTATAGAATCAAAGTATACTGGGAAATCAGTTCCCTCCTTCCTTGCTGATTCTCATTTTTTAAATTATTGTTGAAGATTCTATAATAACCAACCTAGGAAATACATCCTTGGTGCCATTTTAGATTAATCCATCATAATGACTTGAACAGATCTTCCTCAAGTAATATCTTCTGTCTTTCCCATCTCCAGCATCAGCACAATTTGATCCAGCTGGTTGAAATTCTGGGAGTTCTAATGCCATCTTATCTAAAAGGCATAAGACTTGAGGAAACGTATTTACAATGGCTCTTAAAGATGTCACTAGACATTTGAGAAATCATATAATATATTTCCTTTTCTGATCTGACTTTTCTTATTTATCTCTCCTAGCATCTCACCTTTCCACTTCTTGCTGTGACACTCCTCTCATCATTTGGATCATCCACATTGTATGGCTTCAATCTGGCTGTGGTAAACTCTCCAGCAGCGGTAAGACAAATAGAAAGTGGAAAGTGAAATTATTTTTCTCTTAAACAAGCAGAACAGTGCAGGGGTACAATGGATTGACTTATTGTTCTTGAGTTATAATTCCCAATGTTTCTCATCATTGACTTTGTTGACTGGGTTGACAAAGCTACAATTCAGAAACAATCTAGATTTCCCATCACTGATCTGGCAGAAAGCCTTTTCCATTTCCTGACCTTAACAAGAGAGCTAGCTCTCTTCTTTTTTTTTCAGTACTAAAGTGTTTTGATTGATATTACCCCCTCCAGGCATTACTGGCCTTCAGCTGACCCAGACATTGTGAAAATTGACCATGGTAAATGTGGAGATAGGATTGTGACAATCTTCTCTTTATTGGTCCCCCTTTCCCTCCTTTTGCAGCACATCAAAGCCTTCTATAATGCAACATGGTACCAACGCTATGGGCAAGGCCTGGCTCAAGGACCTCTCACTCTCATGTACTCCCTGACTGTCTCCATTTTTGCCCTGGGAGGCTTGGTGGGGTCATTTCCTGTGGGAATACTGGTCACTCAGTATGGGAGGTAAGAGCTGTGCCAACAAGAGTTACCTTGGGGTAAAATGGGTGAGCAGTAAATGTAATAATAAATACATAAAAACAAGGTAGTGATTCTCAATTATACATAGAACATGCAAGCTAGCAACAATACCTGATGTACCCTGAAATCTACACATAATAGCAAGCTCACTGCCACACCTAGGATAATTTTTTTCTAATCTGATGGTCCCACTCAAGTGTGTTAGATTATACAATTTTCATTCTGCATGGATAATATCCCCATTAGCCTTCCTGTGAATGATGTTTGCTGTAGAGTGTAGAACAGTGGTTCTCAACCTTTCTAATGCCGCGACCCCATAATACAGCTCCCCATGTTGTGGTGACCCCCAACCACTTATACATCACCGGGTGCCAGGGGCGTGGCCAAAGAAAAGGGGAAAAAAATGGCGGACAGCCTTGTTTGGCGACCCTCGTGAAATGGTCGTTCGACCCCAAATGGGGTCCCGACCCACAGGTTGAGAACCACTGGTGTAGAACAACACATAAGAAAGTTACCAGGATAAGAAAACTTGCTTATATTACATTAAAGTATTTAAATATATTTTCTGTTTATTAATTTTCAAGATAAATGAGCATTTTTATTGTCCTTGGGTTGTTTTAGAACTTCATTTTGTTAAAGGTGGATTTTAAATAATGAAAATAATTAAATAGATAATTGAGTTAATCAGCTTGACATACAAAGAAAAGCCTGACCCATTCCTTTTTGCCCATCTTTCAGTCATGCCCTGCATTCAATTTAAAGTTTCTCTGAATCATTTATGCTGTCATAAGAAAAATGTCTGTATTTATGCTCTTCTTTTTTTACTCTAAGTTTTTGGTATCAGACTCATTAAACTAGCTTCAGGCACGTACAGTGAATTGTTTGGCTGGCCAATTTATTTCTCATTCCATCTGATAAATCAAATAGTCCTCATGAGAATTAAGAAGGGGGAATGCCAATGTCTTTTAGGATAAAGAAGAAAAAGGGTTATGGTGAGACAATTTTGGGGAGGCAGAAGGAAAAGAGAAAAATATGAGAAAAATTATTTTTTTTTTGTCTTTTCGTTACCAGGAATGGCACTTTGGTCCGTAGCAACTTTCTTGTTCTGTTGGCTGGCATGTTAATGGGATTCAGCCGCTACTTGGGATCCCCTGAAATGGTCATTTTGGGGCGCTTCATTATAGGGATTCATTCTGGTAGGATCTTGCTGCATTAATAAACGAAAATATTTGTAGCTCAGGGTTGAAATGAGGGGACCTTGGTTGTCTTTGAGCTTAGTTGTTTTCTTGCAGATATTTCATTACCCAAATTAGGTAATATCATCAGTGCTAGTCCTGATGATGTTACCTAGTTTGGGTAATGAGATGTTTGCAAGAAAAAAACCAAGCTCAGAGACCATTGATATGCATTGATATGCTTTCTCCCTCATGTTTCCATAAAGCAAGTCAAGTACATGAATTGGTTTTTGCAATGTTATTATAGAAGCATTGATCTTTTAATCCCATTGTGGTTTTGGAATATTTTTATTGAACCTACAAACTACTACAGAATTTAGAGAGATATATGCAGCCTATGTCTGGTTCCCCCCCTCCGCCCCTCATTGCACCAGATTTCTCAGTGGTTATAATACATAGGAATGTCATTACGCAAATGCAAAGTTAGTTAAGAAAGTAAACAAAATTATCATTCTGAGCGAAAGCAGTCCTAAATAGTATAAAGATGATTGTTATAGGCATAATAATAAATGATTGACAAATCAATGGGCATAAATGCAACAAATGTGCAGGTCTCAGAATTAGATGGAAAATAATCCCTTTTCTCTCTCTTACCCCTCATGCTGGTTTTGGGGCTGTGTACCTTCTGGAAACCAGAAAATAGGCAACCACTACAAAATAGCATTTACATAGCCTTTTCCATCTTAGTGCCCTGCACATATATTGGACTACAGGTTCCAAAATTCCCAGGTGATATGAGATACTGGCTAGAAATTATGGGTACTATGGCCCAATTTGAAGGACAGCAGATTGAAAAAGGCCAAGCTAGCTATTTCATTTGCAAATAAAGTTCCCTGTTGTGCTTGTCTTGAAATGAAAAGAAAAATGTCACCTTCTTAATTCAGGAATTGAATTCATGCCATTAAAAAAACCCTACCCTATTCCTAAGTAATTGACTGCAGATTCATTTCATAAACAGTCTGAATTAGGTTGTTTTCCCAAGAAATGTCATGCCATAATGAACTAATTATAATGGTGTCACATTTTTATCTTTTTACTGTAAAGCTGACTTTTTAATTATTTATTTTGTTTATTCATTTGTCAGCTTGAATGCCACCTCAATCACAAGAAACTCTAGGTGGCTTTGAGAAGGGGATTAAAATATCAAATACTGTAAGATATCAGCTAAATATAAACATGTTGGAAATTCATCATCTTTCTTCTTTTTCTATCCTTCTGTCAGGCATCTGTCTCAGTGTGGTGCCCATGTACCTGGGAGAAATTGCCCCAAAGAACCTACGGGGATTTCTGGGCCTTGTTCCAAGCACCTTCATCTGTCTGGGGGTCTTCTCTGCCCAAGTCCTAGGCCTTCCAGAGCTTTTGGGGGAGGTAAATGCTATACTTTCATTTTCTGGATGAAATGAGTGAGGGCAGGGCACCCAATGGAATGCAGTCCCTCTGCTGTTCGGAAAGTTAAGCTGAAGAAATGGCAAGAGCACCATTTTCTATCCCACAGTTGTTCTCCCGCTGGTTTAAATAAGGTAAATGGATTCGGCTTCCTTGAAGCCCAATCTGTTTCTCTATGCTGCCTGCTTCTCCAAGCATACAGAGCTTCTGCAAGTAGTTCACAAAGCCCTTTGCGTCCCAATGTTTCTGCTCATCAAGCTGTTTATTTCTTGTGTAATGCATATGTGCCTGTGAGTTAAATACAGTCTTTCATTCTGGCTTTGAGCAGTTGCTTGAGACCATTGTTTTTCACATGCCAGAAATAATACTGTTCTGCCCTCTCTACTTTCTACCTATGCACCCACTTTTCCAATAATCTAATCATACTATCCACTTCATGAGAAACATGAAGGGAGATGAAGGGCAGAAGCTATAGAAAGAAAGCTGATCAGATGCAAAAATATTGAACACCTATCTACAGCACATGTTCTCTTTTCTTGGAGCCAATGTTAATAAACAAACAAGTGAACATGTGGATTACTCTTCACTTCTGTTTGGCTTTTCTTTCTAGGATGCCTACTGGCCTCTTTTCCTCTCTGTAGTGGTGGTTCCTGCTTTTCTGCAGCTCTTGCTACTGAATTGTTTTCCTGAAAGCCCTCGTTACTTGCTTATTGAGAAAAATAATGTCCATGGAGCTGCTGAAGGTAAGCTACTACCTCTTCCCCAAGCAATGCCAAGTAGGGACAGAGATTGCACTGGGCCTCATCTGTTCTTACCATGACCAGATCCAGGTGAAAACTTGACAAGTATCTAGGGACATCTTCCAGAGAGGATCAGGAACAGAATATTACTTTTATTGCCTTCTCTGCCATTAACTCTCTCTCCTTGGTCAATATTGCCCACTGAAATAAATATCCTTGAAATAAGAACATGTGGAGGAAGTTCAAAATACTGAAAGGGGTTTGGGCTTTATACTTTAATTTGTTGTTTCTACTGTTATGAACACCAAGTATTAACTTATCTGATCAGTTGAACATTGTACAATATTTTGGATCTCCTCTCCATTACTCTTACATTCGAAACAAAATAAAAATGTCAAGATTGTGCTTTTTGAAGAGCTTCTGGTTTTTATAATCTTAAGTGCTAAACTCATCTTCTTCAACTGACTCTGGAGACTGGGAGTGATAGTCCAACATTTCTAGGGAGTGCCAAGTTGGAGAAAAATTAAATTAACTTGCATCTTCCTGGCTTACCGGTCTCAAAGATGTGTTAGCACCTCACAGATAAAGGCCAGAAGTATGAATAATTTTTGAGGCACAGGCTGCAAGGCTATACTGATTTTTTCTACCTCCAGAAGAGTGGCAAGGAGTGAACGTTCTTTGTGGATCTTCCCCATCTTTGGAATTTTCTCCTACCAGATAAAAGATCTGCCCCATATTCCTAATACTTAGGAAGGCTGGGAAAATCAGGTTCTTCTAGGAGCATTTGGTGACTTAGACAGGAGTGATAGAAAGTGCCTAAGATGGAATATTAGATTCTGATGATCTAAGGTACTAGGGTATTGACAATGGTTAAAGATAATTATGACTGATTTTTCTATGTGGATGTAATTATTATGGGTATGTTATGTTTTCTTATATTGCTGTTACTGCATTGGTATTATTTTTATATTTATTAAGAATTTTATATAGAGGAAAAACAAATCTAAAGAGAAAGAAAAAGAAAGAAAGAAAGAAAGAAAGAAAATGAAATATAATTACTTCCAACTTTCTTTTTGATAATTACAATGTCACCTTCCTCTTCAACTACAAGTTTCTTCAGCCTCTCATTTAATCCACATCTTTTAATCTTAAAACCCATAAATCATCATATCATTTTTTTGTTTCAGCAAAAGTCCATATAAGTTTCCAGTTTGTCAGAAAAGTTTTTGTTGTTTTTCTCTGACTAATATTGATATTATTTCCATGAACCATTTTGAGTTGTAATGACATAGAAGCCTTTTAAATAGATAAAAAAATCCCCATATTTCTTCTTCAAGCTGGCATTCACAACTCTCTATTACAACAGCCATCCAGTGAAATTCTCTCAGCCCAAAGGTGTCTCAGAGTAATCTAACTGACTTCTGTGTCTGAGTCTAATACTGAATCTCTACTCCTGCTCCTAAATTTAACTGACATATTAGGGATTTCAGCCAATAATATGTAGTATAATTTAGCTCCATTTTCTCATTTTGGCTCTCAGGTAATTAAGGTGCCCTTTGCATCTTTTTAATACATCACTCAACACATGAAAATGCAACATAATTAATTTATCGCCTAACAATACTTCAAATGGCAACATATTTTCTCTACTAAAGCCAAGTACAGCTTCTTTAAAAGTTTTGTCATTCTAATAATGCATTTTGGCAACTCCAAAAAGATTGCTTGATTTGGCCTCAGTGGTAACAGTTATTTACTGAAATAATTTTTATGTTATATAAATATAAAATTAATACCAATTATATTTATATTGAATTATCATAAATGTGATACACATGCGTGCACACATGCACAGACAAAGACACAAACACACACACACACACACACACACACACACACACTGAGAGAGAGAGTTAGTAGTGATGTAAATGAAATCCTATGGAGTTGCTCTCCTGGCCCTAAGCTTTTCACTCAGTCAAAGAGCAACCTCTGACCATGAAATGGTGGTTGTAGTCCCCCCCCTTTCATTCAATTATGTCCAGTTCTCAGACCTGACAAGTCCCTGCAGTTTTCTTGGCAATTTCAGAAGTAGTTTGCCATTGCTTCCTTCCTGGGTTGAGAGAAGGTGACTGGCCCATGGTCATCCAAGTGGACCTGTTCAATTCTATAGTTCAAGAACACCTATTTTTTTCCCAGAGAAGGCCACAAATGATGGGCTCAACATTAATATAAATTCTGTCAGGCCCCCACCTCCCAACTGATGCCTTCCAGATGTTATGAATTCCTACGGTTTCAGCTCCTTCGCTGGCTGGGAATTGTAAGAATTGAAATCCATATCTGAAGGTCACCAATTTGACGAGCTGTAAGAATTTCACAGTTTATGAGCAACATATTTTTATTAAATATATCAAAATGAATCTGCATATTTCTATATTAATTTGCATATTATTATATATTACATTCAAACCAGAGATATAACCTTGACGATTGCAACCTTTGCCTCTTCCCTTTGAAAATGATTTTGATGTTGTCACTTAGGTCCAGAAAACCTTGGAGGTTGCATTCAGTCCATGGGTTGTCCCTTGCCCCATCCTTCAGTGCTCTGGAAGGTAGACTAACATTTTGTTCTCATCCTACAGCATTACGCTGGTTCCTTGGTAAACATAATGTGCAGGATACCATTGAGGAGATAGAGGAAGAAAAGCAATCGCTCGCCTCAGTGAAATCTATATCTATATGGCAACTACTCTTAGATCATTCTGTGCGATGGCAAGTACTGTCTGTAGTAGTGATCAACATGGGTATGCAGCTCTCTGGAATTGATGCGGTAAGAACTAGTGTGCTAGGTCATAATCTTTGGGAATAGAGTGCAGTCACAATTATATGGTGTTGCTAATCCTCTTTTACCTTCTGTAACTTCAGAATCAAGTGGATTATGACCTGTCTCTCCTCTTTCCTTCTTTAAACTTTTTTCTCAGGTCCCCTTCTAATTTTTCAAACTTTTCTATGCTGAAAGAAAAGCATAGACCACTGACCATTAAGAGATCAGAGAGATAGCTGAGAAGAGCTTGTTCAGCTCAAAGTTATTAATCCATTTTACATTGTATATTTCAAATAAGTAGTCATTCTCACAATAACTTTGTGTGCTAGAACAATTTTTCTATTTCCAAAACTTCAATACAAAACAAAGTTAGAGTGATGTTCCTCCACAAACTTTTAGTAAGTAAAGATAGGTCTCTTCTTCTGAAAGTCAAATCCTGGCGATTTGATACCCATGTAGCTTTTTAAGCAACCTTTTAGAAATGAGTTGGGATATTTTGAGAATGTTTTCCAACCTCCCAATCCTAATTAGCTTCCAAACCTAGGTAAGGTTGGCCAAAGTCCCAAACTGTTTTAATTAAGCTCCACTGATTTGTATTCAAAGATTGAAAATGTAGTTTATGGTATATAAGAACGTAAGAGGCCAACAGAATAAGACTAAGAGATCATGTTGTTCAGCTCTATTTCTCACAATAGCAAGACTACCAAGTCTAGGCTGCTTATATAACTCTTTACAGCTATCTAGTGATCATCTGGAATTTTGTAACTCAGATATGTTAAGTACTTTCGTGTTGTATTCAGTGAGGAGATGCTTTTCTTGTGAAGCTTTCCCATTTAGTTTCAGTAAATCTCTCTGAATTCTAACATTGTATTTGTGAAAGAAGGTATGTGCATTTTTCCCTGTTCATATTTTCACAATGTGCTTACATCTTATTATGCACCCCCTACCCCATCTTGGCTCTCAGTTAACAGATCCCATTATTGTAGCAATATTTCTTTGAAAGGGAAATATTCCAGTCTTTTAATTATTACACCATTTCAGCTCCTTTATCACTTATTATCAGTATTATATTAGGAAATATAATCAGATATTAGTATTATATCAGGGAAGAAAACCATTGCGCAGTAACGCAACGTATGTTTTGCATGTAAAAGTCTCATGTTCACTTCCCAGGCTGTACAAATTTGTATGATTCCTGCTGAAACCCTGAAATGCTGGTGCAAGGCCATGTTAACAAAACTGAATAGATGCATTGTTAAAACTATTTCTGATGAGCTGTTCCTAGGATGAACTTCCCAAGAATTATGAAAACTACTCAGACCAACACATACTTATATCTTTGCTTTTTCATTGACAGATCTGGTTTTACACAAATGCTATATTTGAGAATGCTGGCATTCCCGATCCTGATATCCCTTACACTACCGTGGGCACTGGTGCTATTGAGGTTGTTGCTGGCTTAATAGGCGTAAGTGTGGGGAGTGAAGGGTAGAATGTCTCGCCCTAAAAATAATGCTGTTTAGGTGATCTTTGGATTAATCCTGCCTTTACACCTGATGTCTTCTATATTTGTTTGGATTATAATTCCCAGGGCTCTCAGCCAGCTTGGGAAAGCTGGACAACTAGGGAAATAAACTTGGATGAACAAAATAATATTAAGCTATGGGATTCTAGAAATATGTGAGTTGGAATATTTGAGAAACTTGGAGGAGAACTCTAGTAATCCCAATATAAAAGCATGCCTGTTGTGGGAATTTGGTTTGTTTATTTTGCTACAGCAGAGGTATAAATTACTGAAAACCCAATATTATAATAGGGGAGTCTAATTTAACAGCTGCTAGTCTTTTGATCCCAGATTTCAGCAGAGTCGAGACAACTTTTCAGCTGGGCCAGGAGGGCTGCCTGTGTTTGACCCACACCTCTCTCCCTCTTACACAGACCCGTAGCTCTTCCATCCACTGACTGTCTTTGCTGCCCATCAGCAATGCCTGCTTCTGGCAGCCTCATCACTCCATCAGCCTGATTGCTCCTGAGTGCCAACAAAAATGGCCCCCAATGGAGGCACTGAGGTTGGTTATAAAATTACAGGCATTTTTTCTGCTGTCAGCAGCCTCTCTGCTTTGGCTTCCTTCTGGCAGCTTTTTCCCCCCCGACTTGGCAATATAGACTCAGCATCCCAGGATATCTCCTTTACTCTATCAGCTTCCCCCCCCCCCCCATCCCTTCCCAATAGTGGGATAATGCCAGAGGCCATTTCTAATTGTCTAGGCCAGTGTTTCCCAAACTTGACAATTTTAAGGCATGTGGACTTCAACTCTCAGAATTCCACAGCCAGCGTTGCTGGCTGTGGAATTCTGGGAGTTGAAGTCCTCATGCCTTAAAATTGTCAAGTTTGTGGTCTAGGCTTTCTTTTCTTCCAGGGATATATCTACAGATCCCTACCTCTCAGTCCCTTTCCATCAATTCTAATCAAATAGGACTCTCTCCTTTCCCCCTCCCTGCCCCGGCTGTTTTTAGCTTCATAGATCATACTTGGGAAATCTATTTAGTCCATCAAGTCTAATACCTCCACACCACACCACTACCTCCAGTTTCACTGCAGGATTCCAAACTAAAGCAACCCAGGTAAAAGACTGTCAAGCCTCTGCTTGAGGCAGTAAAAGGAGATCAGGATTATACTTTTTTCAAAAATGTGTTTGCTGGGGAAAATGCCATCAGACTCTTTCTGACTTTTTGCCACCACAACTTTGGACAACTCACTTCATTGTTCTTACTGTTGAAACATTTTCTAATATTCACTTGGAATCTATAACTTAAACCTGTCATTCCAAGTTTTGCACTCCAGATTGGTTGAGAGCAAATCTTGACCCTCCATATGACATTTTTCAGGTATTTAAAGAATGTTTTCATACCTCTCTTTAGCTGTCAGACTCCCCTAATGCAGGCACAAACTAGGCAGAAGGCTTGGGCAACTACATTTAGGAATTAAATCTTTATTGTCATACTAGAACAACACAAATAATAGAGACCCAAAGGTGCTTTTTCAAATGGCAACTGTACTTTGTTTTCTGTTGAAGATGTTTCATTTCTCATCCAAGAAGCTTCTTCAGTTGGTCAGAAGCACTTGGTGCCTTCCTAGGGTTATCTTCATTGCCTTTCTCTGAACCTGTTCCAGTATGCCTCTATATTAACAATCTATACTGTATAGTGTAGTGCAGAGGTGGGCCGGACGCGTCATGAGGAAACCGTGCCTACCCCATTGCCGGCAATGGGGAAAAAGTTCTGATACGTCGTGCAAACTCACGTGACGTCACAAGTTTGACATGTCTGGTGTAGTGCCTAGAAATAGTCAAAATATATACCAAGATGGTTTTCATGTGAAGAACTTTATAATTGACTCTGATCAATTTTATCTTGTTGTTTTCAAGTCAGGTCTCTAGCTTATTAATCTGTTTAGATTTTTACTCCTATATTCTTCTGTATCTCTTTATCTGTAGATTTTGTAAATATTCCCTGCACCACTTCAATTAAATTTTTAACACAGGTAGTCCTCAGCTTACAACCACAATTGAGCCAAAATTTCTGTCGCTAAGTGAGACAGTTGTTAAGTGAGTTTTGCCTATTTTATGACCTTTCTTGCTACAATTTTTAAGGGAATCACTGTAGTTGTTAAGTGTTAGTAACATGGTTTTTAAGTCAATCTGGCTTTCCCATTGAGTTTGCTTGTCAGAGGGTCACAAAAGGGGATTACATGACCCCAGGACACTGCAATGGTCATAAATATGAGTCAGTTACCAAGCATCCTAATTTTGATCATGTGACCATAGGGATGCTGCAATGGTCATAAGTGTGAAAAATGATCACAAGTCATGTTGTAACTTTGAATGTTCACTAAATGAATGGTTGTATGTCAAGGACTTCCTGTACCAACAAAACATTTTTAAGAGTAAAATATCCATGACTTATTCTTGCAGGCACTCCCATTCAATACATTTCTCAGATTTGATGAGGATCTATTGATGAGCATGATTCATAGTTTCAAACAATTAAATTATGTAACCACTTAAGTGTCATGCCATCCAGCCCATATTTTATTAACTAGCTAATCAGCATATAGGGAGTATTTTGTTATATGCTTTGCTGAAATAAAGCTATATTATAATAATATAGATTCCCACATTCTATTAAGAATACTATCTGATCAAAATAATGAGATACGCTTAATCATCCATACTAACTTCTGGTAATTAATACATTGTTTTCAAGGTGCCTAGGATTAATCAGTTTATGATCTATGAACTTCCCAGATACTGAACTCACTGCCTGATCCATAGTTTGCTGGATCTTTTAAAGATAGGGATTTGCTCTCCCACTGTCACATAGCATTTCACCATTCCTCCTCAATAATACATAACTATTTGGCCAGAATTCCATCTAGTTCCTTCAGTATCCCGGATGTAATTTATGTGGTACTGGAAGGTTAAACTGACTCATAATGTTTACCATTTATTTATGCAATTTATTTCCCATATGCAGTAAATCCAAGTGGACTCTGCACAATGCCAAATAAGATTCTAGATGATAAAGGCCTTCATCATCAAAACAGCCTTGGTAATATACAGTAAATTAATCAACACATTTTAAAAGCAAAACAATTAAACACCACATATAAGAAAACATCTCCCAAACTAAAATATCCATAGGATAATTAAGAGCCTGCCTGACAACCAACTCTTTGAGGCATTCTAAAAATCATCAAGGTCAGAGCCATGTGGATTAGAGGGGAATGGTGTATCCATGAGGTCCCATCAAATCTGTTTTATTGTTAGGACATGGAACGTGGTCAGTTTACCAGCTCTATAAGATGAGCAAAATCAATTGGACATGGGTGGTCCTATAGATATCCATGATATGATACATGAAGAACTTTATGACGACAACTAGCACCTTGAATTCTACCTAGAAGCCAATCGGTAACCATGGCAACTTGCAAAGTAATGATTTCCCATGGACAAACTGAGATGCACTCATAACTAAAGTGGCTGCATTCTGGACCAGCAGTTGCATCTAAGTAGACTCCAAGGGTAGCCCCATGCGGAACACATTGCATTATCCAAGCAAGAAATGACTAGCATATGAGAAGTGATGGCATCTTTTTTTTTATTTACAAAATTTTATTTATAATACAATTAAAAAACATTGGATGTAACGTGACATTCCAGTATATACATTCTTATCAAGTTGTTCCACATTTTACAATCGATTCTTCATCTATAATTATACATCTAAGTTTTTTTATACAGTACTTATTCTAAAATAACATATATTTCTATCTTAACGCTAATCTTTAATCCCAACCATCCTCCTCGAATCCCTCCAGCAGTAAAATTTATCCCAGGTTTCAAAATAAATTGATCCACATTTGTCTTTCAATACCATTGTGAGCCTGTCCATTTCCGCACATGCTAATATTTTATATAGTAACTCTTCCTCTGTGGAGATTTCTTTGCTCTTCCATTTTTGCGCAAACGCAAGCCTAGCTGCAGTCAAGATGTGTAACAGCAGATAGATTATTCCCTTATTGTATTTCTCTGTAGTTATTCCCAACAAGAAGAGTTCAGGTTTTAACTCTAAGTCCAATATTAATATATCTTTCAGCCAACTTCGTATCCTATTCCAATATTCACGGGCCTTTGAGCATTCCCACCACATATGGTAATACGATCCAATTGCTATTTTACATTTCCAGCATGAAGGTGAGATATTTGAACCCATTTTAGCTAGCCTTGCAGGTGGGAAGTGCCAGAGAAGTGATGGCATCTTAAGGAAGGGCTACACTATTGCTTTCTTCAAGGAAGGTCAGACAGCTTACTTGCTCAAGGAAACTCTCCATTGCTTGGAATCAGATGTTTGATCAATCAAGCATTCAGTCCTTTCTCTTATCCTGCTTTGAACAATTTCCTGATGGAAAACTTATCTTCTGTAGCAACTGAATAATTTTGCCTTTTCTTTGTTACCTGTTAGCATTTTGCCTTTTTCATTAAGTAGCTCATTCTTTCCTTTTCCATTTATTTAAAATGTATCTAAAGAAATCTTTTTTGTTAGAATCCTCTCCTAGCCTTATTTCAATCTGAGATTTTCCTTAGTTAACAATAGCCTGCAGTTCTGGATTAGCTATCTGCTCCTTTGTGATCTGTTCCTCTTTCTATTTCCTGACTATTTTCACTAGTCACATTTGCTGCTTTTGCTATCCAATATTTCTCCTTTTGGAATTGTTTGTAGTCTCTCTTGCTTTAGAACTTCTGCCCTCCAGAGATCCTTTTTCCATTAGTTCTCCTATCATGGGATCCGACTTATAATTGCTTTGCGTTTATTAAAATATACTTTTTTTGGAATCCAAGATACTCACAGGACTATGCTCAGTTTCCCTTAAAATAAAGAACTCTAGCATTAAATAGTCACTTTCCCTTAATGTTCCTTTCACTTCTACTTCTGCAATTAAATCTTCCCTTCCCACCTGATTCTACTGCATTATACTTAAGGGAGTAAGCATATTAGATCCTAGAATATTTCATTCAGGAGATTCAGTGGTCCCATTGTTCTTTTAAAAGATCTTGGTATCTACCTAACTGTAGAAAAAAAAAGTAGAATTTTAGAGGCTGAAATTCTAGCTCTTTTGCATGGCACAAAATAGTTGTTCTTCAATGTACTCTGTTTAGCAATAACTCTGTGCAGCATTTTATGTCCTCCCAGTATGCTTGCCTGGTGTGTACTGTATCTATGTAATTATGGTCAAAGCAGTCAGTAATCATGTCCTTTCAATATTAAATATAAAAATGCCCCCCAAAATTCTGCAATTTAATTTCCAAGAAAACTTCCTTTTATTTTTATATGCAATATTCTCTAATAGATAAAACATTTTGGATATTTCCCAAATCTATTTATTTATATATATATTTAAATTTGAGAGCTTCGTTGCAAAATTCAGAAAAGAGCAGAATGTGAAAAAAAAATTCTTTCAATCTGTGCTGGAGTTCAAAATGGGCAAATTACGTCAATGAATTTAAAAATGCAAGCCATCAGACTTTTGTAGTGTATTCACACACATTAGAAACACAAAACCTAACCACCGGTATCCTTCTCTCGCCCATTCTTCTCCTGTAGTGCTTCACCATTGAAAAGATGGGACGTCGTTCACTCCTCATAGTGGGCTTCTGTTTTATGGGCATCTGTTGTGCTGGCATCACCCTGTCCCTGGTGCTTCAGGTAAAAACATCTTTGTGCACAGAGTTGTACCTAGTAATCTAATTTGAATCTGATTGTCACTTCAGGCTGTGGTTTTAGAGATGACAGTAGTGACTTTTTGTGCATGTAAAAGCTCACAGAGCTGGCTTTTTTTTTTTTCTATCTTAAAACCTAAACAGAAAAATAAAGTAGCTTTGGTCCCAGCCTGGTGGATGAATGCAAAATATTGTGAAATCAAAGTGAGCACAATTGAGGATATGGAAAAAAATCATACCATTTCTGAAATATTAATTTAATATGAATATTTCATATTAATGTGAAAAGCTGAGTTACAAAACAGGAGGATAAAATAGGAGGACAGGATAGTTAGATGCAGAACTGGAATTGTAGGAGATTTAGGGATTTGTGATTAAGAGAAAAGTAATTATTTCCATTTTACATGAACAAATTCCAACAACTGGATGTCATTTTTGCAGGCAAGTGTGTCCTGGATGCGTTACATCAGTGTGGCTTTTGTGATTGGAATCATTGCAGGATTCTGCATGGGACCAGGTAAGTTTGTGGAGTAGGGAAAAGTATCTGACATATAAAAAGATTTCAAAACTTTTATTCTATATTACCATGCATCAGAAGAATAAGAAAGGAATTAATAAAATGTTCAATAAATTGGTATGTTGAAGAGATGGAATGAATAATGGCAAGTTTTATTTTATGTGCATTGTCCTGAATAGGATTTTGTTAAATGCATTTAGAATTGGTTAACATTGGGATAATACAACCTTAATTGTGTAGTTTTGGACTACCAGATCAGGCATAGTGGGACAATGTAGAAATTTATATAACCAGCATTATCATTCATTCATTCATTTTATTTATTTATTATATTTCTAGAATACTTTCATTCAGGAGAACAAGGCAAACATATCTTGCCATTCATTCATTCATTCATTTGTTGATTTTATTTATTTGATTTTTATCACACCTTTGTTCAGGAGCTCAAGACAATAACACCTTGCCTTTGAAGTGGTCAAGATACCAGTTGCCTCTCTAAGTTTTGCTACTGCTTTATTTTATGCTGCAGAGGCAATTTCTCCGCATGCTGTTAACCAAGAGGCAAATGCAGAGCACTCTTAATATGATGGACGAGGTGGATGCTGGTTTACCCAATTGATGTATTAGTGGAGCCTCTAACAAATCCATAACTCATTGTCGGCCAAGAATTTATTCACTGTAATTACATCTTTAATTAGGATTTTAATGGCTCATTGTTCACAAACAATGATGAATCTGACTTTTAAAATAAAAATATCTCTCTTCCCACTCTGGGTGATCTGTAAGCAATGCTCATTCAGTGTTTTTTCTGAATACTTCATGGGTAGAATTTTTTTTATTAAAGCTTGGGGAAAAAAAACCTGCAACCATTTTAGGAAGCAGTACTCTGTGCTTCTAAAAAGCAGGTGTACTGTTTAAATTGCTGCTTGATGAAAGAGGGCAGTTCTTTTGTACCAGGTCAAAGGGTGGTGTCAAAATCCAGGGCAACACTTTTCTTAAAGGTATCAGCATTATGTTATATGTTTGAATGTGGAGCTAAACTGAATCATAAGGACACTTACAATTTGGGACACTTCGTGCCCCTTGAAAAGGGCTTGTAATTTCAGCTACTGAAGGGATGACTCAAACATGTGAAAGTGCTGTGGGGGAGGGACAAAGAGGAAAATAACCATATCACTGTTGCCTTAGCAACTAGGCTGACATCCTACTTGCGGTGCAGCAATGCAATTATATTACTCTCCCTCCAAAATTCTGTCTTCATTCCCAGTTTTATCAGCAGGTGGTTTTCAGCCTGATTCAAGCACTTTTCCTCCCAAGAGCCAGGTAAGGTAGGACCCTGGCTAATTTACTTAGTACTGAGCGCATTCTTTTCTCTGACAGCTGGAGTCCCATTTCTGTTGACAGCTGAACTCTTCAAGCAGTCACATCGGCCATCAGCTTATATTGTGGGTGGGTCCCTCAACTGGCTCTCGAACTTCACTGTCGGCTTTGTGTTTCCCTTCTTGCAGGTAACATAGGTCTGGGAGCTGTGATTGCCTCCCCTGACAATAATGTTTCACACACTATGTCCACTCAGTATATTGGCCTGCACAACTGCAGTTGTGGATTGTTAGTAGGTCAACAGGTGGAGCAGAGCATTTAGGTGTGGAAACATGCCCCAACCCCACTACCGGTAGTAAATGGAACCCCCAGTTGGAAAATTGCAATATCAAGCATACTGTACTTCATCATAGACAATTCTGGCTGGGGCTGATATGGGACAGGATATAATATCTGGACTAATTGTCTGCATTCTAACCAAGCTGAAAATGGTAGTGGAGCACCAATCAAGTTATTCCTGAAGCTTACATGTATGTTTCCCGTTATCTTATCCTTTTTGACCCTATCCTTTTATTACCTTTATAAAACTCAATAAAAATAGTTATATAAAAAAAGTTAGTCCTGAAGCAAAGACTCCATCTTTCCAAATCTGGCATTGCAAATTTCACTGAGCGTCTTGGGAATCACAAGACAAGTTAGTCATCCTCAAAGAAGAGAATTTCTCACAAAACTGAGCTGGTCATGGCACATCATTTCTGGGCATCCAGTAAGCAGGGCTGGGGAAAAAACCCCTGTCCACTTGTGATTCCCAAAGAGTTATAATTATCTCTATAATTGACACCAAGCGAGATGGACTAATTATTTGACTTGATTTAAGAGAATTTCCTAGATTCCTCAACTGTGTTGATAATGCACTAAAGCAGGGGTCCCCAACCTTGGCAACTTTAAGACCTGTGGACTTCAACTCCCAGAATTCCCCAGCCTGCACAAAAGAGTCAGTTAGAGCAGGGGTCCTCCACCTTGGCCTCTTTAAGACTTGTGGACTTCAACTCCACAAGTCTTAAAGTGGCCAAGGTGGAGGACCCCTGAGTTAGAGGGAAATAAGTTTAAAAATTCAACATACTAATGGTGTTTCTTTCTGTATTGGTCCAATTCACCCTCTCGTAACCTATGTTGTTATTGCCGTACTAATTGAGAATTGTGAGAACTGTAATTTAAACATATTTGGAGGCCACCAAATGGGGAAGGCTGGATTAAGTGATGGGCAGTGGGGAATGCCAGTGCCATTTTCTTTTAGCCTCATCTGACCCAACTTTGTTCCTTTCTCAGATGTCAGCTGGTGATTTCTGCTACCTGGTCTTCTGCGTTATCTGCTTTCTAGTTGCACTGTATGTGTATTTCATCATCCCTGAGACTAAAAACAAGACATTTATGGAAATCAACCACCTCTTCACCCCCTCTCGCCCTACCTTCTTCTCTAACTTTCCCAATTCTTTCAAGATGGTCAAGTTAAATGGCTATGGAGCCCTGGAGAACAGCTCCTTGGAATTCTCTGGATCAGGATCGAATCTCCCATGAAGCTCTTCAATTCATCTCTATCTCTCTGCAGAGGGGAAACCATCTTGATTGTTGTATTTGGTCACTGGCCAAGGATAAATGATTTGTCTCTTTGTTTTCCCTCCCCGGTCAATACAAAAAGATCCTTTGGGAGAAAAAATGGAACAACATCTCATTCTAACCTAGAGAAGTTGCCTCTTACCACCTGTCTCTCATTTTTAGCATGTTCTACTTTCTAATTTCTTTTACTTACACTTCTTTACAAAAAAATCATAATACTCTCAGGGAACTGCTCAGAAAATGTTTCAGATGCAGTGGACAGAATGCCTATTTTCTCTAAATGTTACAGCAGAGATGGGGAACCCATAACAGGCAGACAGCTGGTCTAGCCACCTAAGAATGCATAGTTACACTTTTCAGATTTCTTTTGTTCAAGCATTGGGAAGTAGAAAGCACCTTTTATTCCCATCTAAATCTCCACAAAATAGAAAAATGCCCCAAGTTGCCATTTTGAGGAAAACTAAAGATGAGAATGATAAGAAGAAAGATACTAGTCTTTCTACCCTTAAACTTAATTTGCCCTAAGATCCCAACATGATGTCTTGGATTAACTTAAGCTAACAATGGAGGACTTGCATCTCAGAGGTATCCTGATTCCATTCCCATCCTTAATTCCCATCCAAAAATAGGGGGAAACATATAATCATTCCATTGCAACATGATTGGATGGCTTTCTGTGCCCAACAACCTATTATCCACCCCATTTTACCATGTAGGGGGGTATACCAAACTATTTGCAGTTGTTATTTACCAGCACTTGGAATGGAGCTGAGATTCCAGTCACAGATCAGTTACAGCAGTGATTCTCAACCTTTCTAATGCTGTGACCCCATAATACAGTTCCCCATGTTGTGGTGACCCCCAAGTGGGTGTGGCCACCAATAAGAGGGAGTAGGACAGCTAGGGAAAAGGGAAAAAATGGCGGACAGCATGGTTTGGTGACCCCCGCGAAATGGTCATTCGACCCCAAATGGGGTCCCGACCCACAGGTTGAGAACCACTGAGTTACAGAAAGGCGTCCATGTAGTACCATTGTAAATAGCAACATCATGACTACTCTGGTAGAGTTATAGCAGTATATTTTTTAAAAAAGAGAACAGTTATACATACTGTATGTAGCCAATGCACAAGTAAGCAAAACAAGTTGTTAAAGACAAAATAGAAATTAAAAAAAAATAAAATAACGATTGCTCTCTAGTTGCTATAAGAGGCAATTTTGTTCTCCCCATGCAGTGACCAATAGACTGGTGGGCCTTCCTCCTTTCCTTCTTTTCTCCCTCCCTCCCTCCCTCCCATAAAAAGAAGAGGTGAGATATCAGATAGCAGTCACTTTTTAGTGCTTCACAATTGATCAGACCTGATATTCAGTGGGACAAGTGAGGACACTCAGATGTTGATTATGGTTTCAGAGGAGATGTTAGCAGCTGTGTAGAAGGTGCCATAGTTAAGTAAGTGACCATTTTGCTGCATGGCATTTAAAATCTGCTAAGATCTTGGGAGATATGATTTTCCTTACTATTGTATTTTGGCCAATGGCTAGAGGCAATTGACCTTAGCATAAAATAATCCATAGAATGGAGAAATATAGATTATTCTATTTTCAAAAGAAATATGACATTGAATTTAAGATGATTTTAAAAAATATTACGGGGTGGAGAAAGAATGCTCATATTCTCAAAAAAACTAAGATTATACTTCTCTTTTAAAATTAAATCATTTGGGAAAAATCCATTCTCAGGGAAATATAGTATTTGCTTGTAATATAAGAATTTGGGGTTCTGGTTTTGGGAAGAAAATTCAGGCAGTACTCTTTCGTGCCACACAAACTAAAATCATGCAATTTGATTCCATAAGGTGCAATGAAGACTGCCAACCATTTGGATGGTTGAAAGAAAATGTGAAATTTATGGAGACCAAAACTTTCAGACACAGCAAAATAGATATCATTTCTAACCATAAGGACATTAGAATTACAAAACACATGGCATGATATCATGAAGCAAGCAAGTCCCGCTACTTTCTATTTCCATCATGATGTTGCACACAAATATATTTGGGGCAGTTTGCGTTATGATGCTGTGACTCCCTATGAATGACTTATACTGCAATAGCCCTTAAATAAAGAAATATATACTAATAACAGAATTGTGTGCATAATGCAATCTTTATATGGATTATATATGTTTGAGTTAAACAACTGAAGCATGCATGCAGATATGCGCATTTGCAACCAACATTTCCATTCTATTATTTCTTCATTACTTCTATAGTATTATGGCAGTGTAGAAAAAAGGCTGGAAGGTTCAGTTCTTAGTATCTTTTTTTATCATATTTGAAGATGAATGTTTTTCTTGATTTTACTTTTCAGGAGGCAGCATTCATTAATAAAATCTGCAACAGTTTGTTATTTAGATTGCAAGGTAATCCCTCGATGAATAACATTTTGCATTTCAAGTTAAGACTATGCAATACAGTGGCTGAGTATATCATACTAAACCACAAGAAATAATTCAAAACTATTGAGGCTAAAATCACACAAAATATTATGTCAAAGCCAAAAAAACCATACCCTGTTTCCCCGAAAGTTAAACCCAGCCCGATAGTGAGCCTAGCTTGATTTTGGGGGTGGGGCTAATATAAGCCCTACTCCAAAACTAAGCCCTAGTTTGGGGGCGAGGCACACCCTAAAAATCAAGCTAGAGCAGGGGTAGGGGGGTGAAGCTGCCCCACACACCCTGCATCCGCTTACCTTACCAGTAGGACCACCAAGCCACCCACACCCTGACACCTGCCGCGCTGCTACTTGACTTCTTCTGTGGCCGCTTGCTGCCACTTGTGGCTGGCTATCATGTGGTACATTACGCCATTGCTGCTCCTTCTGGCAGGACACCACAGGACGCTTTGGGCCGCTTCTGTTGCTCACCTGCTTCAGGTCGCTCCTGTTGCTCTCAGCAGGAGGCCACGTGGTGCTGCGAAAACAACCCAAAGAGCCACCCAGCATCCTGCTGTGAGCAGCAGAAATGGTGCAAAGCACCATGTGGCATCCTGCTGGGAGGAACGGCAATGTGCTACATGGCATCTGGCTGCAAGTGGCAGCAAGTGGCAGCAGAAGTCAAGCAGCGGTGTGACAGGTGTCAGGGTGTGGGAGGCCTGGTTGTGGTGGTCCTAAGGTAAAACATTCTCTAAAATTAAGACCTAGTGCCTCTTTTGGAGGAAAAAAATATATAAGGCCGGGTCTTAATTTCAGGGAAACATGGGTATTAGAATGATTCCAACCAGCCAGGCTTACGACTATGGCTGAGGATTCTCTGTCACTGAAACGGTCTCATCAAGTTATTTGAGAAAAGTATCATTTTGAGGTGTTCGTTGGTGCTTTAGTAATAAATTGCACTATGCCTGCAGAATCAGGAACCTGAAGATAAGCATAATAGCCTGTGGGAAGAATCCAGAGAAAGAAATATTTTGGGAAATATTAAAAAGGCAGAATATATTTATCCAAAGGAATAATGGAGAAGATCTTAAAGGCAGAAAAGCAAGCCCAGTTTTTTAATAGCCCCAAGCAGAAACTAGGCAGAGGCCATCTTCTAGAAATGCAGATTCAATAATCCATTCAGGAAGGTTGGGGCCAGGAAGCTAGAAGCTATGAGATTAGGAAGACAAAGACCTCTAAAATCTACATACCCCACCCTCTAAAGGACATGACCTGGAGACATAATAGGATTAAGCCACCAATACCAAAAGGGCACACTCAGACTTAGGTCAAAGTACATGACATAGGAAAAACAAAGCCTCAAACAGGAACAGAAAATAACCTCAAAAGCCCAAGAAGATTTAAAAACCCACCACTCCTAGCAATATGTGGTCAGCTTTCCCAAAGCCACGCTTCTGTCTGGCTCTGCTCTTCAATAAACTCCAACCTTCTTTCTAAAGCAGTCTGTATTTTGTTTATTCCCAGCTTGGACTGGACCCTGATGAAGATTTTTCTTTCAACAAGCCCATTTGCGGTGGCAGAGGAAAGTTCTCCAGGACCCACTAACTGTATTTTTATAAGTAGCTTCTGCTTACTAACCAGTGGTTATTGCTTACCAACTAATTCAGTGATTGTCTGAAGTTATGATGGCATTAAACAAATGGTACTTAGGACTGGTCCTCAAAGTTCTGGTCCTAGCAGTGCCCCCATCACCACAAGCAACCTGCCCTACCGGTTTCCGCAAATAAAGTCAATAGGGAAGCTGGAAGAAAGATGCCAACTCACTTTGGTAAGTCCCCCCAACCTTTCTGTGCTCATGCTTTGCCGTGCTGTACATCTCTGACCTTCCTATGTTCATATCATGCCACACTATACACTCCCAAACTTCCTGCAATTATTATGCCCTGCCAAGCCATGGCCTTTCTAAGCCCTTTCCCACACCTTGCAGCACTCCCACTTTTCTTACCTGGAATACCCACCACTACCTGCAGCACTCCCACTCTTCTTACCTGGAATACCCACCACTACCTGCTTAATGATCCATGCATTCTGTTGCTAAGCAATGTGCTACATGATGTTGCACTGTATAACCATATCACTAAGCAACAGCAATCCCTGTCCCATTGCCATCAGAACTTGAGGACTACATGGAGGGTTGTTTAGGATCATAAGGTTGGAGGACACCTTGGAGATTTTCTTGTCTAATCTGATGCCTAGAGAAGGAATCCTTATGCCATCGTGGAACAATGGTTACCAATCTTTTCTTGAAAACTTCCAGTGATGGAGCACCTACAACTGCTTTCTTTTCAATTCCTCAGCATCTTTTCCTGTCCTGTGACAATTAGAACTGGACACTGCCTTCCAGGTGCTGAGTAACCAATGCAACATAGAGTTTGTCACTATACCTGTGTTGATGCAGCTCAAGATTGCATTGGCTTTTTTGGCAACTACAGGGCACTGCTACCTCATGTTTAATCTGTAGTCCAAGCTCAGTATTTCCTATCTTGTACCATTGTATCTGCTTTTTTCTATATAAGTGCAGAATCTTACATTTCTCATCATTAAACAGCATTTTGTTGAATATGGCTCAATCATCAAGTCTGTCAAGGTCATTTTGAACCTTAACCTTATCTTCTGAAGTATTCTATCCCCCAGCTTTGTTTCATAAATTTTATGAGCATCATTTGTACTTATCTAAGTCTTCATGTTCTGAAGATGTTGGGAAGTAGTGGGCCTTGATGTACCCCACTGCATGTCTTTCTACATAGATCTATTAAGGACCATGTGTTGGCTATATTTATTCAGCCAATT